CACAATGTACCATTTACTTATATGTACAATGTATATTGGAATTTTGTATTGGCAGTTTTCTTTAGACTTATATTGTTATAGACTTTATATTGTTTCCCTGGCATTGTTTCTGTCTATGTACTATCATATTTTTATTTCGTTCACCAAACGTGTTTATTCAGTTCAGCGATCGTGCATTTGTCAACTTATTGCTGTACATGTACATGTACTTGTACATGTACAGTATATAAATAAATGTCATTTGTGTGTGTGCATGAGCATAATAGTGTACATGTATGTGTGTTACTCTCGTACATGTACATGTATTTCCTCCTCCTTCTTTCTCTAGTTTGGTACAGAGTCCCTTCAGTGTCCTCGTTGTAATGCTCCAGTCCCAGCTCATCCTGGAGTCTGTGCTGCCTGTGGTGAGAACGCTCATCAGTGTCAAAAGTGTCGTACTATTAATTACGATGAGAGAGACCCTTTCCTCTGCATATCCTGTGGGTTCTCAAAGTACGCCAGGTTTGAGACATTAGTCGAGGGACGACCCACTTCAGCTGTTGACCCAATTGAAACTGAAGATGATAGAAAGAAGGTGAGAGAGAGGAAAGAATTATTCAGTAACAAAAATAGCTTAATTAATTGTGGCCTCTTCATGTATATTAGCTGTACAATCATGTTTACATGTATTGTGCATGTACATGTATATGTGTGTTTTTATGTGCATTTATTTACTGCTGTTATTTTATTCTCTAGACATTGTTAAGTATTAATCAGTTGCTTGAAAGAGCTGATAAATATTACAAGGAGCTAGTGACACACAGAAATGAACTGGACCAGCTGTTGATATCCCTAGCCAGTGAGCCAGTGGTATCTCAGGTAATAGAGAAAAAGAAATAATTGTTTTAAAATATAATTTATAAGTTTGTAGACTTGTCATATTAACAGTTCCTCTCTCTCCCTATTTTTCTAGTCTTCATCAGACAGTGGTGTGAATCGTGCTATCCAGTTGGCAGCTCATTTATACTGTAACAGTTGTAAATCGTCTTACACTGACCTTAGCAAAATAATACAAGTAAATTAATAATTGAAAGACCCACTACACAATGTGACATAATCACAATATGTGATTGCATACACATATCTATTTTTAATGTACTTACAAAATATCTGTTTGTCTCTCCCTCTTTCTCTCTCAGAGTGTTCTTGCTTCAAGGAGAGAGCTAGTTGCTTATGATATCAATAAACTTCATTCAGGGAAGGTTTCTCCTACTAGTGAGCCAGCAACACCACTCACTCCAATATCAGGGGAAGGAAGTGCCTTTTCTCTCTCGTCCCCCGTCTCCACTGCCCCCCTCAGCGAGGGAAATTGTTTTGGATGTGCTTCTGCGACACTAGAGCACTGCATTACTGTATTAAAGGCACTGGCTTTTAAACCAGAGACAAGGAAACTTATGAAAAAGGTAAGTGTGTGTTTCTTTTATGTCTTTTGTGTTTCCTCTCCTTCACTCTGTGCATGTACTGCTTTGCTTGCTCTTGTTTATTATTAGTATTTTTTGTATATCTCTGTATATTATGTACAGGACCTCATAGAGGAATTGATGGAGTTTAATTTAAGAACCGGTTCCGTTACTCTACAGAAAGACGTGCAAGGACTATTGTGTCAACTGACCAGGTTAGAGGGAATCGTATCATATGATGATCATGTGAC